AGAAAATCCCATGCTATCCAGAAATTCCGCACAGCTTCCCAAAGTGGTCAATTGTCTTGTACTTGTCCTAAAGACCCAACTCCCGTTTCTTCAAAATATTTTTAAAACAATATGGCAACTCAATGATTTGTATAATACGCCTTTGCTTCAGTTTTCCTTCCACATCACCCTCAGATAATCCTTAATTTCAAATACATTTACAACGCAGAATGAAGGAAACAATATAATTTTCTTAGCCATTCACCCACTTCAATTATTAACCTGAAACCCCAACAAACCCATTCATTAGTTATGAAGGGACTTATCAGCTCCACTCTATTTCCGGTAACCTATTATTTTTTTCGAAAATCGTTGCTTCTCCGTCTGTTATGGCTTATCTGTCGACACCTTTGCATGGGAATTCCGGAGAAAAGCTCACCGGAGAAAAGCTCACCGGAGAAAAGCTCACCGGAGAAAAGCTCACCGGAAATAAGCTCACCGCAAAGCCGGCGGATGCGGAGAAAAGCTCACCGGCCATTGAATGTATGCGGAGAAAAGCTCGCGGATTTTTTTTCTTCTTCTTTTTATATGGAGGCTGTTGGATCATGCGTAACATATATCAAATTATTTTGATTAAAATTCGTCAGCTTTGTAGAAAAGAAAATGCCATTTTTGTGTTATTTGTAAGCTTATTGGGTATGTTGCTCCCAAATAAATAATTGCGGGCGAGTATTTTCTGTGGCTTACTCTCTAGGCAACGAAAGCCTAACTGAAAACTTTATGAACTTGACAAAGAGGAAAAAGTTCGAAAACTTGATAATGTCTGCCTAAAACTTAAAAATCAAAACTGTAAATGCCGAAAATCCGAAAGCGCATGCCCAACAACGCGGTGCCTGAAATTATCTTTGAAGCTTCTGTGAACCTTTGAAAACAAGATAAAACAGTCAGTATAGGATATCGATGCTTCTTTCTTCCACGGTCATGCACGTTTTTTAGCCGTTCGAGCTGGTGTTTCGACACGTTGCCTTTTGTGTGATTGTGACCTTCTACTGTAAGCCATTCATGACCTTCCGAGCTGCACACTGGCACCGTTGTTACTCGTGACCTATAATAAAAGTAGTCTTCTGTAAGGTAGCGAATAGTGCGAGTTGGTAAACGTCATACATGATGAAGACTGCTCAAACGATGACAACGGAGTGAAGACAACAAACACGACACGACGAATCTGTTCTTGCAACTAAAGTTTTGTTAGTGAAATTAACAGAAAGAAAACAGCGTAGCCGACATTGATTACATCAACTAACACCTACTTATTTATTAGGCACTACACAATATTTGGAGCTTAAACGGTGCACACACCGCTATTCATATTATCTTGCGAAGAACAAACCTCTTTATTTGACAGAGCTACCGACGGCGCACTAGTAATTTGTCAATAAATTGTCGTCTTTTTTACCGGTGTACGATGTTCTGATTTTATACCCTTGCGGCTTCATTAATGTACAAAAGGAGTGATTACTAATTTCTGAGGAATTAGTAAATATGCCCAATGAACTTCAAGCACATAAAAAAAAGGACATATTTTTAATAAAGTGACGAAGGCGATTTGTGTTAAATTGCCACGTTTGACGCAGAATCCGCTAAGTTAATAAATCGGTGAGCTTTCCTCCACGTCCGCCCAAAGGCCGGTGAGCTTTTCTCCGCATCTGCCGGTTTTTCGGTGAGCTTTTCTCCGGTGAGCTTTTCTCCGCCGCCCTTGCATGGGATTGGGGGTAGCAGTTTTCCTGAAAATGGTGCAATGTTCATCGCGTCCGCACTTTATCCCAGCCCGTGATTCACCCTGGTAGCCAAAAAAAAAAAATATATATATATATATAATTAGGTGAGCTTTTGTCCGGGTCTGTGCAAAAACGGGTGAGCTTTTGTCCGATGAGCTTCTGTCCGGTGAGCTTTTGTCCGGTGAGCTTTTGTCCGGTTACCTGCACATTTAGCGGTTGGCCACTTGTATTACGTCATTCTACGTTTTCCTGCGGTTCATGTTAACCTTATTTTGTTGTTTCTTTCACTGAGCCTTTGTAGACCATCGACGGATTAGGTAAATACAAAGGACAATGCTGGTTGAAGCACCGTGGGACGGGGGCAGTGAAGACGGGGCTCTTGGCACTTGGGAAATACGGGACGGGGTAAATGAACGCGGGGTTTTCGAAACTAATGACGAGGGGCTTTTGCGACGAGGATTCTGCACGTGGGGCAATCGTGCTACACGCCTCTTGAATCTAGGCTCTCTTACCTCAATTAGCCGGGTAGTGTGCGTCGGCTCTTGACGCAGACATATTTAATATGTTTCGAGAGCGACGGCGTTTTGGCGATTTTCTCGGGCGGATTAAAAGTGATTCGATATCGGCCGGAGTTTAGGCGGAGCAGTTTCATCCAACTCGGCATCCCGCAACAAAAAAGCGTGCGTTGCTCTTCTAACCTAGAAAAAAAAAAAAGTTGCTGTTGTAAAATCATTAATTATAAATGACCCCGCAACGAAACTCGGAGCCATTATTAGGGTTTATTTTTAATGCGCCCGGGAATGGTGCGTGACCAATCGGCCGTGGTGTTCTTACTAAAAAGATATCTTCAATTTTCGGCTTTTATTTTATATGATTTGCGGGAATGAAAGTAAACAGAGTAATTGCGAACTCCCTCGCCCAGAGAGTTCTATTCGAAAAGTTTGAGAACGAAGAGGAACCCGCGTGGTGGGCGGAGCGAGAAGCATCACCGATTAAGTAACGTAAGAGGGGGAAAAAAGTGAAGAAATAAAAGAGTAGATTCAAATATTCCGGGAGAAAAACCTAATTTGCAAGTACGATGATGAAGAGCCGGGCGCTACTTCAACGTAAAATTCGAGGTTTTTTTGTTTGTTTTTTCAATCTTAAACGAGGATTTCGGATTGAGTTTTTCTCGAACTCAATTTAGGACGCGGCAGCAATATTTGGTGCCGTTTGTGCTCGATTTTTCTTTGCCTCTCCGACTTAGGAGGCTAACAAATTCCCACAACCTAAAGGCTCTCGCAAAAAAGTTCGGCGTGGACGTAGTGTTTTCTTCAGATTTAAAAATGAGCAGGTTGACGCCCTTTCTGTCGGACCACAAGGGCTGTCAGAAGGCCCATCGGGAACCTTCAGTTCCTTGCAAAGAGAGTGTAGTATATGAGATTCCGTTGACATGTGGATTTAGGTACGTGGGACAAACTTCAAGATGCCTCAATGACAGGTTACTAGAACACAAGAGAAATGTAGGCACGCATGCGCCGAACTCCGAGATAGCAAAGCACATAGAGGAATGCAATAATTGTAATGCGCATTGGTCAGAGACAGAAGTTCTGCATAAAGAGCGAAATGACATTAAGAGGGTCGTTAAAGAAACAATAAGAATAAGTTCTATTGGAAACTGCATAAGCCAAGCATCGATGCAACTTGGACGCAACTCCAAAAAGTTTCTCAGGCTTTGAACGAACGCATTCGGTTTACGAGAAAAGGGGGGGAGAGACAATGTATATGTGTATATACATCTATAACTTTTTTTTTTTTTTTTATGTGCTTGTGATCGCGGTTTCGAGATCACTTGGGTGTGTTTTCCCAAGGAAAAGAAAGAAAAAAAAAGTGTTTTCTTTGTGGTCTCTTTATGTCTGGGTGCGTCGCCACGGTTTAGAAGCCACCTGTGTGTTTTTTTTTGTTTTTTGTTTGTGTGTGCATTTTGACGCGACTGTTAGGATAATTCGGGACATATCTCTCTCAAGGTCACTGCGATGATCCGCAGTGTCCCATTGTTAAGTCCTCGTCTCATGTGTGGGTTGTTTTGTATCTTTTGTATCCATCCGGTTCGAAATGTCTGCAACAAGGGAGTTTATCTGTAGAGTGTGGTTGGGAAAAAGTTCCGTGGGTACTTAAAGGCTGTTTGAGAAATAAACCAGTTAGCTGAGTTTGAGACGTTCTCTGTGTCTGTTCTTTCTACTGAAAGTTCTTCCGATTTCTTCCACCGCAGTCTCAGGTGTAATACGACATGATTAACAAATATAGTTATCCCCCAAGAACCGAAAGGACTCGGGCTTTGTAACCCAAACACCCTGTCAAACAAAAACAAAAGTTGTTCGAGGTTTGGTATTTGCTATATTCCGCAACGTTCCAAACAATTGTTCCTTCTAAACCACCGGAGAAGGTTTAGAAGGAACAATTAAGTGAAGCCAGTGTGGCTTCGCTTATCTCTGTTGGGCCCTCCATCCCATACGAAAAGAGACAAACGTTTCCTAGCTGTGTTTGGAGATTTGTGTTTGTCCTTTGTCCCTCTTGTTCCCGTTCTCCGGGGTTTATTTTCATCATTCTTGTCCAGCTCGCTTGCATCTTTGCATTTAATTGCATTCTAATAACAAACGTTTCCTCGCCCAACCGGGGGCATGAACACTGTCGCCCGGGCTGACAGCGGAGTGGACGCTACCAGCTGGCTGAACCACCCTGTCATCTGTCTCCTCTTCTCGGACGCCTCGAGAGAGAGAGAAGAATCTCGTGGTACGGCACTTCGGCTTCGACTGGTTCAACTAGCACGTAGCCCCATAATGAAAAAGCCCCGAAGGTCACCAACCTTTTCGCAACAAGGTAACACGGAACAAAAGGAGAAACACCCAACTGACCACCAAACCAGACACACGACCAACAAAGGCAATGGAACCCTCACCACTCTCTCCTTTCACCGAATTACTCATCCGCAGAAAAAAATTTTTTTTTCTCTATTCAAAGATAAGACGCCGTTTTGGCGTCAACAATTAGGGAAAGAATACGGCTTGTCGTGTTTCCCAACGAATCAGGGTCTTAGCCGCGCTTTGAAACGTCACGACGTAGATCCGGGATGAAAGTCGAGACCCTGATGCCTCCCACTCTTACTTCTCGTCGGTGGTACTACGGCAGTCGTTCGGATCGGCAGTGTGCGTTCAGGACCGGCTTGTGAACGAGATTCCAGGAGTAGGGCGCCAAGTGCACGAAATGGCCATCCTCCGCTACGTCGCCGCCACGCTGTTACTGTGGACAGCGGTGATTCTGCATGCCGGTGAGTGGGCTTACTTCATTCGCGTTCAAAGTATCGTTCTCAGCTGGCGCGGAAGACACGTTCGTAGGGGAAAAAAAAAAAAAAAAAGAAAGAAAGAAAGACGTCGGCCGTCTTTTTTTTTTTTCCGAGTGCACGTCGGCTTTTTTTCGAATACATTTTTAACCCATCTTTAGGATAATATCTAGCTCAGCTTGCACTTACTGGCGCCTTGCCACTTGTCATCCACAGTTAACCGGATATTATTATCCGATTCTCTGTCTCGGGTTTACTACAAATGTCATTAAAAAGTTCACCCGTGTTTTTTCTTCTTTTTCATTTTTCACTAATTGGCATTCGTGTCTGTTTTTGTGAAAATTGGATTCGGTGTAGCTGTAGAGTGTGCAGCGACCCGATGATCAGAGCAGTGATAGTTATACATCCTTTACATGTGACGTCCTATGGAACCGTACGAGCTGCCATTGCTCCGTACCACGCTCATGTGCCCCTACCATCTGCAGCATGCATTTCGCAAAATCGAATTTGTTCTTCTCGGCGAGCCTCGCGGAGAAGAACATTCGATGGTACCAAATGCATGTTGCAGAAGGTGTGGGCACTGGAACATGGTGCGGAGCAATGGCGGCTGACGTGGAGTCAATGCTAGCCCTGTATAAAAGCACCACCAATTTTGTTTTAAAATCGCGATATATAAAATATTTTTCTCCCCATAAAGTCATTCTGTATTAATCAAGACGCATGATAGTGCACCCAGTCAGTCGTTCCAATTTGTGAACTTGCTAGGTTAGCAAGTTTACGAATTCCTTTGACGTTTCTTTGACGAAATTCCCGCTGTAGACATAAGGGCCGGCATGCTAGAAACAGCGTCTCAGTAGAGATTGGGGGAAAGAAAGCACTGCCAAAGCCAGCGCACGAGCTGAGCGGGTCTCAAGACGATCGCGCGCACCACACTTTGCAGCGCTTTCTTGCACCCGGTCTCACCTGAGCCGTTAAGCCGGCTCAACTGTTGTGAAGATTGGCCCCCCAGGGAGTGTAAGACACAAGGACCTGCGCAACCCTTCTTCTGCCCGACCTCGATCAAGTTGAAAAACGGGTGCGGGCATTGTTTCCATTCTTAGTAAGCGGTACAAGCCTGAAGACCTCGTCCTCAGTACTGCACTCGAGGAACGGCTCTCCTGCAGCGTTGTCAAATGGCGGCGTTTCTCGAAGGACATATTCGCTAAGGTCACTACGAAGGGTGGCTCGCGTGTCCTCTCTGAGGTCACTACGTGCGCTACGCTTCAGGGTCACTCCAGTCAGATGGTTTCTAGAGTCACCCGTACTCACTAGCTTTCGCGATCGCACCTAACTATACATCAGAAAGGCTTTCTGCCGTTCTGCTCGATGAAACATTTGCGAGGCCAGCTCAATGCCGTGCCAAATGCCCAACTTTTACCCCTTTAGCTAGCAATTCCCAAGACTTCATAAAGGTCGTTTCACATCGTAAAAGTGTCGTAGAGACTCAACATCGTATCAAAATACAGCAACCTATATGCAAATAAAACTAAATAACCTATATACAAATTAAAATGCAAAAAAAACTGTTTTCTGCAGGTGTGTCGTAAATGTGGATTCGTTATAAGCATATATGTGAACAGTGCGTGATAAATGTCTGCGAGTGGTTCATTTATCCGAAAATAGCGTATATCAATTTTTTTTTGTCGATGTCTGCCCTATTTTGAGTTGACTTTTTCGTTACTGGCGCACGCGATTCTCCATGCGTCAAAGTATCCGTGCCGAAAAGCCACGTACACGGGTGTCACGCGTCTTGAACCCGAAACAAAAAAGAAATAACATATCAACAATGGCTGTCATGGTGGTGTCAGGCATCGAGAGGAAATGTGTGCCAATCACTAGTGGGCTGGATCGCGGATCGAGAGCCCGTCGGTGTCGCCACCGGCGGTCATTGCTTCACACCAGGCAATACACGCAAGTCTACGGGAGAAACGCACAAAAGCAAGAATATTGAAGCATGTACGCTGTTCTCGGAAGCGAGTGTTTTATGGTGCGCTGCAATCCTTATGTCGGGTGTTTGGAGACCGAATCGGTATTTGCCAAACGTTCGGTCGCCGAATAAAAAAATCAAACGTATCGGAGCACCTACGGCTGAGCTGGCAAGCTTGCTTTCGTAGTGGGGTAAACAAAGGAACTTGCCGTCAATGAGACCGTCCTCGGGGGAAGCCCAGAAGTTGATGAATGACAAAGAAGTTCCATCTCGACAGCAGCTTTCCGAGAGTGAGCGATTTCCCCGTAGCAAAGCCTTTGAGCTTGTCGTCTGCTAAACCCAACTCAACGAAACCGACTCCGCGGTAACTCTAGGTAACTCGCATCATTGAGCTGCCCTACAGCGGAGTTACTCTCGACCACAAAATATTTATTTATAAGAATTGCGAGGGCTGTCAGTTTTAATGTTCGTACGCAAGCTATTTGACTTGCTTATCAAAAAGCATCCAAAAAGTTTCAGTGCCGACAACAGCTTAGAAACGGGGGAAAACGGCACTTTTTCTCGTTCTTCCCATAGAGTCCCATGCATTGGCTGGTTTCAATTAATAGCCGCCGGTGGCGACACTCGGCCCCAGGTGCCGAGGGCCGCGGTCCGCGATCCAGCCTAATAAAATAAAGATTATTGGTGCCAATACGCGCTTAAATCTTCCGAACAAGTACGACCTTCTGACCTCTGTTCTCAACCTCTGATTCTCCTCTTCCAAGGTGGCCAGCAGACTGAGAGTCCCTCGGTGAGCGTCGAGACGGGCGCCACGACTTTGGGCGCCTCCACGGTCGGCCCGACGCCGGTTGTGCCGTCAGGGGGCCGGCGGCCATCTTGGGTGACGAGCACAGACCCAGGCTGCCGCAAGCGCGTCGTCTGCGAGGCGGCCAGGACCCTGACCTACGTTTTCCCGCTCACGCAGTACTGGCAGAGCGTCGTCCGGTCAGTCGCTGTTTCTTTCGTACGCCCGCAGCGGGTAGATTAGACGCCGTGACTTTAGGAACCGTTAGCTCTACAGCAATCCAATTTCCCCGTTAAATTTAGCGAAGAAATCACTGCACATGGTGTTTTCACGTTTGCGATGGGATACTGTGCACCACAAACGTCTCGCGCAAGACCCCACCGCTAACCTAATTTTTAGGTCAACGTTGTTTCCATAAAGCGTAGCAATTAATACATACTTATGAAACCCAAAGGCAAGGAAGCGAAAAGGACAACAGAACGACGTCTCAAAGCACGTCGTCGTTTATGAGTACGAGTTTTCACCAGTCAGCCTGTGCTCTTACCCTTATTTCGATGATTACTACCCCTGTCTTAGGCGCACCGTACGACGGCTGTATCTCTGCGAGAAGGGGCGTCCGCTAGAGTTTTGAAAGGTTAATGCATCTCCGAGCAGAAGACTTTGAGGAGGAACTCTCCTCACCGAGTCAACGCCGTGGCCCGTTTGTAGCTTAATTCTACGTTTCGTTCTTTTGATCTTCGGCGGCTCTTTACTTTGTGTCGCGAACCGATCGAATTTCGGAAGAAAGCCGTCGCGTATTACTAAAGCGGCCGTGTTCTCCATTCATTTCCAATTTGAGAACGGAAAAAATCGATCAATATAAAGTCGTGATAAGCGGGGTCGTTCGCAAAGTGAGGGTCTTGGGAAGCTATAATTTCCACGTGCTCTTACACTGTCTCGTACGACCGAAGCTTGCTGAATCATTCCGCGTCTCGTTTCATGTTTTTTGTTTTTGTTTTTTTCATTCGGCGGCATCGCAGTTAGGCTCACATTTGTATTCAGCGTTGTACGGTGAACTGGGACGAACGAGTGATTAACACTGTTCACCGGCATAGGACGGAAGCTCTTGGTGTCGGGATACTTTTTCTACAGTAACGCCTAATTGTGAATGTGCCTTTGTTGTTTCGATGCTCCGGCGTATGACAGATTGCCGACGAGATGTGCTCACACTGGCTGCGCGTCGATGCTGCAAGGCGCATGCCCCCTGCAAGAGCAAGAAAAGAAAAAAAATGTCGGGTACCGGTAGACGTAGTTAACCGGGGGTTTCGAGGTTCAAAAGGCTTATGTTTTCCTGACGTTCGCCGAGTACAATTTCGCCATTGTTATGCGGATTACAGTGGACGGCGGGATTTTGCCGGGACGTTCTAATTAGAGCCACTAAAAAGCTCGTCTGTAGAGTAGCTGAGCCACGGTGCGGCTCGTAGCAGAAGCATTACGCATTGAACACGACCAGACCGGCACGGGCATTCTGTGTAGCAGCCAACCTTGGTTTTTAAGAGATAAATGACTTTATTTTGGGTCAAATATAGACCGTAGAGGTGCTCCTCCGCTAAGCAGACGAGAGCCAGCTGATCGACGTGAGCTGCCGAGGCCAGCCACACCCGCTAGTATGGAGGGGATTGCCCGCTTACTTAAGCGCAACACTGTACACAACGTTAAAAACCGCACTCAACGCGACTTTTTTTTCCTTTTTTTTTACACGAGAATAAAACAATTGAGAACACAACTTCGGCCGGCGCAAACCGCGCCTCGATCATCTCAATTCCAGCACGTCTATTCAATTCGCCTGGGCGCGAAGAGCAATCTGATAATAGCGGGAGCGAAAAGATCCTTCTCACGTCTTGTGGTGATTTTCGAACCGTCGAGCATACGAACGCTTCTTGTACAGACGGCTTCAAGCGCAGATAAAGACGACGAACGTGGCGGTGTGTGGCCGTCGTTGCCGCTTACAACTGCGGGGCACAACGACTGAACCCGAGCTCCGAGCAACTTGTGCGGGAAACGCATACGCTGGACGCGGGCAGGGTGGGCGTCCCCGAAATTTCAAGGTGCCAAATTTTTGCTTTGGAGCGAGATCAAGAAGCACTGCCGCGGGAAGGCGCAGACGAGGACCTTCACGTCGTCCAGACGTCATCCTCGGCGTCGTCTTTGAGGTTGTCCTTAAATCGCCCTGTATGTCGTCCTGGAGATCGCCCTAGAGGTCGTCCTCTTTGATATCGTCCTCTTTGATGCCGCAATTTAGGGCGTCGTCCTTGAGGTTGTCCTACGCAAATCCTGTCGCAATTCATAGACAACTGACGACCACTACTGGCTTCTGCACTCATATTTTCGTCCTCCAGCGACGTTAGAGCAGTTGGAGTAAAACGATAAAACGAGTTCGCTGACACTATCGAAAGCTCAGAAAGTGCAATTTCATGTTTGTAACTGTCCCCAGTTGCGTGGCAGTAAGATGGCAGCGTCGACAATCAGAGATCTTCCAAGCGTAGTCTATCGAGCAGCTCTATACAGCTTTAACCTGTAGGATCGTGCTACGCCGCAACAAACTAATATGCTGACTCACTGCTATTACGAGTGTCGCATATTTTTTAGTAGCGCGGGTGTTGACCTCTGATTTCAGCATACCTTCTGTTTCCGGTGTATAAGATGTGCTCGTTACGTGATGGGGAGCCTTCTTGGAGGCGTTTCGCCGCGCGTGGGCGATAGAGCAACACGTGAGTCAGATGTCACGGCAACGTCGTATACCACGAGACGTCTCCATACTCAGCTTGCCATGCGTCCACGCTCCGCCCGCCTTGCCGGATGGTCGCGTGGCTAGTTCTGGTCTGCCGGCTCGTAGGATCTACTGCGGTCCAATTCAAAATGAAACGGAAGTACTATGAGGTAGATGTGAAGTTTCAATCTTTTTTCTCCTAAACAGCGATAGACCGGCGACCAGAGACGACTACTTCGGTGCCTGGTCCAGGGGTCTGCTGGACGAGGACTGCTCGAACAGCTACCCGGACTGCTCGGACAGTCCGGCGGGAGTTGTCTTGCCGGCGGTCAACCAGGTTGTCGGCCCTAAGGGCTTCGTCGGTTCCTTCTTGGATCGCCTCGCCAGGCCGAGCGCTGCCAATGTGCCCAGGGACCCGGGCTATGCCAGACCTTCCATCGTCATGCAGCGGATACGGCAGTCCGAGTACAACTTTAGCAGACGACACAACCATATGTCTTCTGCTCACGCTTACACTTGAGGAACTCCTTTCAAAATGTGTGCGATATGTTTCATTCTCAAGCGGGTCTACGAAGAATTGTTTTTTTGTCAGCAGCAGCTTTCGAGAGACAGCGAGAGTTCTCGAAGCGTCCGGGAATTCTCGTTCTTTACGAGGTATTGTTTTTTCGGGCGTATTTCCTCGCTGTGCCCTCCCGAGCGTACGTGGAATCGTTCGTGAGTTCGTCTTACCCAACTTGTTCGCTTATTTCTTAACCTCACCAACCCAAAACAAGCGAACATGTTCTTAAAATTAGCGCTTGGTATGTTGCTATCAATGTGATATTTTGTTTTTCTTGGTGGTAAGCTAGGATGTTCGCCTCAGCCACAGACGGCACACACTGTGGCTGTGATTGTACCTCTACTTCTGCTCTGACGTCAGCATGAAAATTCCCCGGACAGGTGTCAGAGATTGCTGGCTTAGCTACTCATTTTTTTTTTACCGGATCTGAACCATTCAAATGCATTTTATCCTTGTATTACGGGAAGAGTTTCCGTATTTGAGGCGCGTAATAGTTTTACCCTCTTCCGCACCATGTCATCTACTAAAGTTTTCAGGCGCGTTGCTTTCTGTTGAGTCTGTAATAGTAATAGGCAATGCATTTTGTTTACACGGGATATTACAGAGTGCATACTTAGCCTTTTAGACTTAAAAATATTCCGTGGTTCTCTCCAGTATAGACAGAGTGTTACAAAGTGCATACTTACGTTTTTTTCAATAAAAATAATTTTGTGGTTTTCTCCAGTACTTTGACACCAAACAACTTTTTATTGTTATTGGGGTAATCTTTTTATTTATCATAGAATATGAAAACTGGGAGTCAACAGGGCGCCGGAGTGATGCCCGAGAATAAATTCCACGTACAAAACTGTCACGTATGGCGGAATAAATACTTTGAATCATGTATGTGCGCGTACTGTTCTGTTTTTTTTTTTTCTCGCGTTGACGTACCTTCTTTTGGTCAAAGCAGCTAACTCAATTGTCTACACGTACCCCTGTATTCGTCATCTTTTGATTTCACCCTCATTTATCACGACCAACCGTTTACGCCACATATTTAGTTGAAAACGTGCACGGGACAAGCTGAGTTCAGCTGACACATTCACCACTTACTAAACGTGACTCGCTTTTTTGAAAGAACGGCTGCAGCCGTATAATATAAAAATCGCAATAGATGAAATCCCATAGGAGACGCCCCGCGGCGTTTTCAGAGTGTCAAAGCAAATCATAATCTTAGCAGGTTCGCATGCCTCGATACTGTTTCTGGGAAAGCAACCTCACTTACTATCAATCGGTCCTAAAAGACCGGTAATAGGAGATGCGCCGATTACAGTCTGTTAGTGTAACATCTCTTCATTCATCTACTCACAATGAGGGTATCATGCACACGCTCAGTGCGGCGTAGAGTCATACTGCTCCGGCGTCCTCTTTCCCTTCAACATGTTTTTTTTTTTAGATCCGTTTACCACGGCGATGGGTAGTCTTAGGACACTAATGAACATGGTATGTACACCGTACAGATAGCATTGCGTGCAACCAAATACATATGCTCTAGCACCTTGCCATAGATTACAGAGTTAACATAACCAATGTAAAGGTCAGCTGCTTCTCAAACGATCGTCTCGGAGAACTTCTCCAGTGTTCTTGCGTGAGTGCGCGCACCGAGACCGGTGTCGGAATTTCCTCTTTGAATGGGTGCCCGTCACACGCGAAGGAGGGAGAACACTTGGGAGCACACTTTAAGCGCGCCGGCGAAGAAACGGGCTTAAAGCAGGGAGTAGGTGATCTGCATTTTACGCCGCCTCTAAATGGCTCCGCTCTTTCGGGGAGCTAATCGACTTCGCGGCCATTAGGGAGCCATGTTCCACGTCTTTGTTTAGACGGCCTCACGCATTCCCTCTCTGCCCAACTAGGAGTTTTCTTTTTAGTCGGATATTACGCAGCTCTGAGAATTTCCCAGCTCAACCGGAGTGACCATCGCAAAAAGCGACCTGACAATGAGCGAACACACCGGAGGCTAAATGATACATTTTTTTTTTCGTCCTAAAGTTATTACGCAATGGGTTATTGGTGCCGAGAACGTTCGAGGTACCTCTCTAATGTATTCTGGTAATCCCGAGTGAGGAAGCTAATTTCTTTAACTGATGAGAGAACCGCGGACGTCAGTTAATGTCTTGGTGCTACCCTAAAAGGAGAGGCGAGATAGCTTGGAACAGTGCCCTTTATAGACCGTTCCATCAGGGTCATAGCAGAGAGGGTAAAAGAGAGAAAAATGCACTCCCCCTCTCACCCCGTATGTCGTCCCCTCCGCCGCGTGGGCTGTAGCTAGCGTCCGACTGGCGTGCAAACTCTGTTTAAAATCACGTCATTTTGGAACTTTCAAGTGCAGATGCGCAGATTTTGGTATGCCAGTTATCGTGTAACACTATGCTTGATAAAAAGTCTCACAGGGTTTAATTGCGCTGTTACCTGCGTGCAAATAAAAAACAAAAATAGGGAAAACTGTCTCAGACTGACCGGTCTCTTTGGCGAAAAGGAAATCCGGTTGCTGTAGCTTTTTTACTATACAAAAGTTCGTACTGGTGTAGGCCTTTAGCGACCATGAGTGGAAGTCTGAAATAATGAATAAAACGTGCCCTCCTGCTGCAATACAAGCAGTAGTTGAGGGTAGTACTGCCGGCTGACTCAACTGCTATTTAAGTAACGGAAAAAAGATGTGCTAGTTGATCATTTAGCAAAATAGAACAACAGAGAGCTATAGGCTGATTTGGAGTAGCCACAACTATTCTAAGAACGCGAACCACTTCACAACGGAAGCCACGAGCGAGAGTTAGATGTTCGGTAGAGCCCGCCGATACAGCCCAAAGATGGAGAACGGCAACCTCCCGGTTTGTCGTCTGCTAGCGGAGTCCGGCGCGTGCCCTCTCTCTCATTTTACCCCGCCGAACCCGCTGAACTTCCCGGATGTAAGGAGAGGGCGCTGCGGTCGAAGAAAATGGTGCCGCCCAGAGAGCGCTAAATGGAACGGTCTATAGACCTTTTCTAGAAAGGCGCCGCTTTCTTTAAATCGCGGCGTCAGCGACACCATCTAGCGGCTCGGCGCCTGCAATACGGCCGGATGTGACTCTGGGAGGACAACTCGGGCCCTAATGTACAGGACATCGCTATCTGCTGGAATTAGTCAACTTTGTCAGATATAATACATCCCCAAACTTTAGTTCTACGTACAGCGCATCACCGTCCAACTGACGGCCCCAACGTTTACGAGAGGCTTCATGAAAGTGCGACATAGTCACATAACATAATAAACAGCTAAAGGACGTATCAAAGACTACGGGAGGAAAACTCTAAGGTTTTGCAGTAGGGCCAAGAAACCCGCAATTACTTTTTTTTTTTTTTTTTTGCAGTCAGTCAGTCCCACGTACATTAGCTATTTCAATGGGTTCTGCAACATGGCTATCAAGCCGCTCGTGAAAGCTGGTGCCGTCGGTTCGAAGCCAGTTTGCTGTGCGTCGAACTGAAGTTTTGGGGATGTATTATATGTGACGTGGGGTGTAAGAGTATACATTTTGTTTTAGTGTGCAGTAGCAAATCGCAACAGGCGGTGATATCCTGGTGGAGATTAGGGCCCCACTGCAGGGGGGACCTTGACTTGGTGAGCCGGGATGGCTTATGAAAGGTCCTGCCTCCTCGAAAATCCAGGGCGGTCGGGTGTCTCGGGTTAATTTCTTTGAGGGCGAAACGTAGTTGTGTGCAGATTGGGATGCATGCTTCCAACACCTGCGTCTTGAGTGGTATGACGTAGACTTCTTCGAGCCACGTTCCGTTGAGTCGAAAGAGACTCATTTCGAAATGTCGAAATGAGTCGAAACAAACTAATTTTGGAAGTTACTTGCTGATTGATAAAAAAAAAAAATCCGATCTACTGCAAGGTGGTGGTGCAACTAACACCGCGGAAGGTGCAAGCAGCGCGAGCGGGTAGCTTCGACTTGTGCTCCCGCTGCAGTAGGGCTCGCGCAGCGGGAGCACTTGTGTCCGCCATTGTGCAGGGATTCTACAGCTTCCAGCAGAGGGCAGACTTTCAAAAGGTGTCTATGACGGTGGTGATCCAATCGGAGCATCGACATGGTGTTGGATTCGGACCGCTTGTCACCAGCGAGGTTGTCCGAGCCCTCACGGGAAGAGCAGTTTGGCCATGCAATTGGCACGCGAAACTCATCAACGACGTAGATCGTAATCTGTATGGTACGTGCTGAGCAGAAAACATTGATTCCCCACTCTCACTGCATCATTTTGTTCTACTCGCACCGTAATTCTGCTTTCGCTCGGGAAAATTATTGGAACACCCGAATATCACGCAGTGATAGCCGTGCGACTAGATTTTCGGACATGGTTACGTGATAAACAGGAGCTACTCGGAACTAACTCATAAGCCCTGGAAACACCGTTTCTGGGTCTTTTCGACCATACCCTCGGTGAATGCCTGTCCCGTGTAAGTGGTACTATCCACATGCACAAGCTACAAGGTGAATAAGATGCGCCCTGGATTGAGTTTACACTATGCATGGCTTGAATTGTGACGTCATCTACTTTTTTTTTTTTTGTGCTCAGAAAGGCAGATTGAGTGGTGCGGAATGTATGCTCCAAAAAGGTAGATGCGCTAAGCAACCACCACAATGCCAGTGGATGTGACGTCAGTGCATAGGGCGCTGGAGGCCTTAGCTGCATGCGTGCTATATGGTTCAGCGCATGCTGAGCGCTCGCCAGATTCCTTTCGCACCAACTGCTCTTCGTGCCAGAGGATAAGTTGCTCTAGCCACAACTCGTGCTGATAACGCGGCGTGTGAGCCCTCGTTTTCTGAAAGAGTCTTTCAAGGGCCGTAGACCCGTAGCTTTCTTGTTTTGAGTAAGCATTCCTGGCAAGCACAATCGGATGGTTTTGGGTCGCGTCTCGGCTGTGCGTCGAGTTGTATTCTTTTCAA